TCACCAGTAGAATTCTTGAGCACTCTGTGCTTTGCCAAAAGAAGAGGGGCTAATAAGCAATTGCAATAGCACTTAGACTTATATACCGCTACACAGTGCTTTATAGCCCTCTCCAGGGGTGGGTTCTAATTTTTTTTACTACTGGTTCTGTGGGCGTGGCTTATTTTGTGGGTGTGACTTGGAGGTCATGTGACTAGGTGGGCGTGGCTAGCTGGTCAGAGTCATTTCTGGAAGGTCCTCGCACTTACGACCAGTCCTCGCACTTACGACCAGACTCATTTGTTTGCTTTTAACACTGATCAGCTGTAGGATGGCCCTTTGAAGCCCCGCGGCAAGAGTTTAAACAGTTTTTTTCCCTCTAGTCATCAGCTGGGACTCAGGAGGCAGCAATAGATTGGGAGTGGGACCAAATAAAAGGTAAGAATAACGTGGGGGGGTGGGGGGGGGAGAACCAGTTCGGTGACGTCATATCGTCACCGCTACCGGCTCAGCCGAACAGGACAGAACCGGGAGGAACCCACCACTGGCCCTCTCTAAGCAGTTTACAGGGTCAGCATATTGCCCCCAACAATCTGGGTCCTCATTTTACCCACCTCAGAAGGATAGAAGGCTGAGTCAACCTTAAACCTGGTGGGATTTGAACTGCTGAACTGCAGCTAGCAGTCAGCTGAAGTAGCCTGCAGTATTGCACCCTAACCACTGCGCCACCTCTGCTCTCTTGGCTTTCACATTTCATCGAAATGTGTGATATTACCATTAAAATAATAAGTGAACGAAGAAAATACTAACGTAAAGGTTGTCTACTTTTTTCTCAGCTTTGAAAAGTTCGCTTCTTCATTCATCAGTTGAGATTCATAGACATCATATATTCCCCTCCCCCTTGCTACACACTTTTGTCTCTCTGTGCCTCTATATTCAGTAATTTGCATGACGGTGACAAAGTGTTGGCTTAATAAAGTTATCATTTTCCCCTCCTCTATCAACATAAGTGTTCTTGCTATACCTATAAGAGTTATTTAAATGATTGCTTGCATTTTTTAAATTAAAAGCTAAGTAACAAAGTGTTGGCTGAATAAAGGTATTGTCATTTTTTTTCCTCCATCAACATAACGGTTTTTGCTTTACTTATAAGAGTTATTTAAAATGTTGCTTGCATTTTTAATTAAAAGCTAAAGGTTATGTTTGAGCTTCCCAAAGATCTTTTGTTAAAATTCACTATGTTTTACAAGTTAAACATTTCTGTAGTCAAATGTAAGCCCAAGAGAGTTAAATGCTGCTTATTTCCAGGTATCTGTGTGCAGAATTGTTGTCATGCTCCATAAATTTAATGGTGCTGTTTTATTAGTAGTTTGCCTGTTCAATTTGTTTGAATGCCTTTGTTTTTTTAACCATTCAAGAAATTGTAAGAGAGCTGTTGTTAGTCTATAGTAGGCAAAAATCACATAGCCTTCACATAGCTAATGACAAGATTTGTAAGTCTGAAAGGTGTCAACTGATTCCTGATTTTCTTTTTCTTTTCTTCTTCTTTGTGTATAAATAACAGGAATTAAAAATAAATATGTTCATGAAGCTTGACTATAGTGTGACAGGAACATTATTTCAAAATTTACCACTACACTTCTGATTTAAACGTAAAAGGTAAAATGTAATGTTAAACAAAATATGCATCAAAAAGTTCCCTATTTTCTTTCCACAATTACATCTACTGCTATATAATTTGCTCCTTCCTTCCTTCCTTCCTTCCTTCCTTCCTTCCTTCCTTCCTTCCTTCCTTCCTTCATCAAAAGACAAAAAAACCTAGACAGCATTGAAAGCCTGATGAAATATATCTATTTTTGAAAATGTCCTTAAAACCGCCAATTCTTTTTATTAGTTTATAATATAAAATACAGAAACACAAAGCGTCCAAACACAAATAGGGAAAATAGGGGAGGGAAAAGGAAGGAAAAAGAAGACAAAGGTGTAGAGAAGAAGGGAAAAAGAAAGAAAAAGCATTGACTTCCATCTCTCTTTGTGCAGTAGAATGAGATAGTAACATCAAATCTCAACTTTTTACTTTTACATAATAGCCAACGGCCAATGTAGCCATTTCTATAACAACAGATCTATCTAATCAGTAAAACCCCAAATCAAAGTTTCATTTTTTCCACCTCAAGAAAATCTCCTGAAAACCAAGGTAGATGGATATGGATCTCTGGAACCTGAGGATTTAAGAGTGTGGTAGTGGCCACAGAGAAGCCTACCATCTTGTCCATATCCTCATCAATTCAGACAGATGTATAGAATATAGAATAACAAAGTTGGAAGGGACCTTGGAGGTCTTCTAGTCCAACCCCCTGCTTAGGTAGGAAACCCTACACCACTCCAGACAAATGGTTATCCAACATCTTGGATAAGATGTGATGTGAGACACTTGACATACCTTCTTGAGATTGACTCACTACATGGATAGATTCAAAACAATGACATATTATTATTTTTATTACATCCAATATATGCTGTTACATATTACCCTAACCACTGCCATAAGATCCTAAGATGGAAACTTTGGGAACCCAGTTTCTTTGAATTGTAATTGTTGCATTTCTCTTTTCTTGCCAGCTGGTGGTGCAGCTTCTCCAGATTATTTGGAAGAAATGAAAGAAAGGGTGGTGCTGCCTTCTGAGCATTTCCTTTTTTTCACCCTTGCTGATTGAGGAAGATGTGAAAGAGAAGCAGAAGTATTCTTTGATCTGCTGGCTCCATTTAGTTGCCTTTTAAACAACACTCTTGTAAGATGGAACGAAAAGATGTGGGAAGGGGTGCATTGAATCAGCTAGAGCAGGGGTGTCAAACTCAAGGACCGGGGGCCAGATGTGGCCCATGGGATGCTTAGATCTAGCCGTGGGGCCACCCTGGAAACAGTGAGGGATTGGCCCATGGTGCCTCTGCCAGTGAAAACAGGCTCCCGAGCTCCATTTCCGGCTGTGATGGCCTCCTGCAGCCCTCTGCCACGTGGCCCTCCTGAGCTCAGTTTTCACTGGCAGAGGGCTGCAGGAGGCTGTCACAGCCGGAAACAGAGTTCAGGAACCTGTTTTCGCTGGCAGAGTGCTCGGGCTGCTACAGACACCCCCGACATGAGTGACATTGAGCAGGCTATGCCCACCCTGTCCACATCCACCCTGGCCCCCCGAGGTCAAACACAACCCTGATGCACCCCTCAATGAAATCGAGTTTGACACCTCTGAGCTAGAGAGAAAGCTAGGAAGCTGGATGCAAAATAAGAGCTTTTGTGCAGAGAAGAGGAAATGTCAGATACGTATGTAATTAAAGGTACAGTGTGGTCTTCTGTTTCACTTGGTCTGTTCAGGAAGCCAGAGGCAGCCTACAATTTCATACATACAGTTATATTTGTCAACATGTCAGAACTGTCTAGGGCTCCTCACTGATGGATTTGTGGAGCTAAATTTCTTTTCACAGGATAGGTGTACAAAGTATGCAAGTGTCCAATACATTCGACTTGCTTTGAATGAGGAATGAAGGGATTACAAAACAACAGCAACACAGAGTTTGTGGCTCCAAATATAGGCCGAAGTGGGGTGAAAAGGCGTGAGCTCAGTACAATTTTATCAGAACTGAATGTTCACGCGCTACATAGGATTAAAAAAAACATGCTCATGCTGAATAAGTAGAAATAAGTTATGCATAAAGATAAAGGTAAAGGTTCCCCCGCATGTAAGTGCTAGTCGTTCCTAACTCTAGGGGGCGGTGCTCATCTCCGTTTCAAAGCCAAAGAGCCAGTGCTGTCCGAAGACGTCTCCGTGGCCATGTGGCCGGCATCACTAAACGCCAAAGGCGCACAGAACTCTGTTACCTTCCCACCAAAGGTGGTCCCTATTTTTCTACTTACATTTTTTATGAGCTTTCGAGCAGCTAGGTTGGCAGAAGCTGGGACAAGTAACGGGAGCTCACCCCATTACACGGCACTAGGGATTAGAACCATTGAACTGCCAACCTTTCGATCGACAAGCTCAGCATCTTATCCACAGTGTCCCTGTAAGTTATACATATAAGCCCCCAATTCTTTTTAACTGACAAAAAGAATACCAGTACCAGGGGTGGGCTGCTGGGGGTCCGCAGAGGTTCAAGAGAACCTCTAGCTAAGATTCTGTGCAGTTCAGAGAACTCCCAAATCCCACTCTTGGGCCCCGCCCACCCTATCCCGCCCTTCCCAGGAGTCCCCATACAGCCTGTTTTGGATGCAGGTAAGTGCAGGGCGTGCACGGAGGCTCAGGGAGGATGAAAAACAGGCCTACTGGAAGTTCGGGAAGGCCAGAAATGAGCCTGTTTCTGGCCTCCAGAGGGGCTTCGGAGCCTGGGGAGGCCGTTTTTGCCCTCCCAGAGCTTGAAGAAAGCCTCCAGAGCCCAGGGAGGGCAAAAACGCCCCCCCTCACCATGGTGCAGGAGGCCGACTAAGCCATGCCCACCATGGCCATGCCCACCCAGCAACTGGGCAGAGTACCCCTTGCTAAAATTTGTGAAGCCTACCCCTGACCAATACTCAGAGATGCATTCTTTTATTTCTAGTTCTGGCTTCCTGGAAAGAACCCAAAAACCTAAAACAGATAGATTTAGTCTAATTAGCAACACAAATAAAGTGTCTAATTGTCACACCACTTGAGGTTTTTCATATGTTTGCTACCATTTTCTTCCTGAGCATGATAGCTTTAACTATAGAATGGCTTACACTTACAAATGAGCATGTTGAAATTGGTGGGAATCCCTTCTAAGAGAGGAATATATTTCTGTGATTTAAGATTCCTCTTAACAAAGACATTCATTGCAGTGTGAGCAACAGTGCTGTGGGTTTGCATTTTTTTTTTCCAGGAAATAACCAAACTACTTGTGCAGAGTTCTGAATTGTGGGCAAATGGCTTCCTCTATCTATCGGAACTCTCAAGGAGGAACCAGAAACAAAGGGTGGAGTCACTTGGCTTAGTTATTATTATGTTCAAGTCACCTTAAGTTTGAAGAAAGGGAAGACTAATCGGAGGAGCTGCTGCCTTGCTTTTCAGACATCTTCAGGATGGATGCTTGTCTCATTGGTAAGTCTTCTCTTAAAAGAAATAGAGAACTTTGGTGTTGGCTTTCTAGATATAGGATTCCTGAGAGATCTGTCCCATAGGAATTTCATCAGCTTAAACAACCCAAAAGAAATGAGACAACTGGGTAGAATATAAGTTTGTCCAACTGGCTTGGTGGATGTTTGTTGTTGTTTTGCTCCCTTAATTTCAGCCAAGTATATGTTAAAGGGAAACCATTCTAGCTGCTATATCATTTCATTATTTTGCATGTGTTCTCTTGGATATTGGTATCACTTTATAAAACATGCTCACTATTTGAGCTTAATGATTGATGGAAAGATTGATGGAGGAGCCTGGATAGCTCAACAGACAGAGCTCTGTAATTTAACACCAGCTGTCTGCAATTAAAGTAAGATCGAATCTCGCCAGGCTCAAGGTTGACTCAGCCTTCCATCCTTTCTAAGGTAGGTAAATTGAGGACCCAGTTTGTGGGGCCAATAAGCTGACTTTGTATAAATATACAAAAGTATGAAGGCTATTGCTTAACGCATTGTAAGCCGCCCTGAGTCTCCAGAGAAGGGCGGCATATAAGTCAAATTAAAAAAAAAAAAGATATAAAAACCTTAGTAAAAGTGAAAAAGAACTAAAGGGCCAGGAAGACTTGTTTGATACAACTTTTTTTTAATGTCTTTTCATTCATCTCCACTTGGGTGATATAGAAAGGAGGCTTCCAGCTGGTGAGGCTTAGATGTACTTTGACTTGGCCCTTAATAAAGTTTCCTTGTGACTTTGAGATAGTGATAGGTAGATATAATATCTTGGAATAAAGTTATAAAGAGGCAGGCTAAGAACTTAGAAAAAGGCGAACTATTGGAGAAGAAATAATCAGATAGCCCAAACTGTCAAGGCTTTTATTTCAAACACGCTCTCATAAAGGCACTGTTCAGAGATGGAGTTTTATGCCAATCATTCAGATCAGAAAATATGAAATTACAGAAGAAAACTATAATCAGCTGTCTGAAATGGCTAACTTGATCCTTTTGGGGAAGTTTTAAAAACCAAACAAGTCTATATGCAAAGACCAGAGCTAGTGCTCCCGCCCCAAATAAAAAATTAGGGAAAGTGCTTGTGAAATGGAGAGTTATTTGATTGCTGGGTCATCCACAATCTTGATTCTCTTCCAAAAGCCTCATTTCTTCTTTGGCTACATGCAGGGCAGCTACTCAGGAACAGGGGGAATGGAAGGTTAGTATCTCTTCTAAGCTATAAAACCTTTGGTTTCTCCATCTGAGAAAGGAAATTAAAAAACCTGACTATTCTCATTGTATCCAATAACCCTGCTGAGTATGAGTCTTGTTTTTCAAGGAGGGTATTACATTTCTTCCTGTTGAGGCAAGTAAAGAGAATCTATTGCTACAATGGATGACAAATAATTTAGAGGACTTTCACAGCCAGCTAGACTGTTTTCCAGTTTCCTAACAGATTACCCCCCACCTCCCCTTCTCTTTTGTGTTTCATGACTCTTTGTAGTTGTCCGTCACTGATATATTGAAAAGGCCCCAGACAAGTTCCTTTATATTGACTTCCATAGAATATAACTGAAGGGAAGGCAGGGTAGCTTCAGCCCATCTCTCCGAATGGTTAAAAGAACCAAGGTTACTCCCACCTAGTAATCCTATTATTCCAGTAAACACAATTATCCCGTACTCCAGCCATCAAGATTTTTCTGAAACTTTCTTCTCTTTTCTATATTGGGAGTATTTTTTCCCTCATCAGAATGAATTAGAATAATTTTTTTAAAAAAAGGATAATTTTTCAGCAGAGCACAAAATTATAAGCATAATTGTTAAAGCGGAAGTATGTTCATCTCACCTTTTTGTCATGATTTTTCATTAAAAAAATAGTTCTTAGCAAAGGTTAGACCATTGACGGGCAGAAGGTTGACAGATTCCAACAAGGGTTCCACTAGTTTAATAATAATGAAATTAAAATGCATTTTCCCTTCCTAAATTAGATTATTAAAATACAGAAGGCTTGGGGAACAGAGGGTTTGTATGTAAAAATATTTATGTATGACCTGTTGTGCCAGTACTAAAAACAACTTCATCAGCTGAAGACATGCCTGGAGGAATATTGCTTCTTACAAAAGCAAATCCAAATGAAATAGAGCTTCACTTCAGCGGTGCTCTAAGTGAAGTGCCTTTCCTGAAGTGCCTTGATGTCCCATGACATCTCATGGCCATGAGAGCTTACTGTCTTTAACAGAATCAAACGTTTCAGCTTCTTAAAGAGAAAAAAACACTTGCCTGAGAAACATATCCTTCTCCCCTGCTCGAATGTGACCAGGAACTTTGTTCAGTCAAGACATTCTTCTGCCTTTCAAATAAAAAGAGATTTATTAATGATGGGAAAAGCTTTAAGCCAGGGCTGTCAAACTCCCAGCCCATGAGCCAGATGTGTTATGTGTGGCCATGCCCACACCGGGTTTAGGGAAGGGGGGGGAAGCCCCAATATGTCACGTGATGCTGCCGTGACGACCTGAGTTTGACACCCCTGCTTTAAGCAAAGACAATGGAAGGCCTTATTTCCATGCTAAGATGAAATTTCATACTATCTCTGGTTTTAGTTAAAAATAAGATCGTTCCCAATATGGCTGGGCAATATCTAGATATTGCCAGTATCCCTAGCCAGCAACACTATCTGGACATTACAAAGCAAAATAGAAGAAATGTAATATGCAGTAATTTACAGGATCACATTTTCTTTCTCGTAGGGATAGAACATTGAACAGCTCAGATTTAGATGTAAATTCCAATAAGCAGAGATTCAGAAAACTTCTGAAAGTATAAAACAGTCCATGCTCAGAAGCTGCTTTCACCGGAATGAAGCAGCAGATCAAGTGAGATTGGCCTTGGCTTGCTGCTTGCAGGAAGCAATGTGTCTCACTTTTGTCATCACATCAAAGCAATGATGCATCTTGGTGAGACAAAACAGCACATTAATGTGGATTCACTGTAATCTCCACAGATTTCTTCCTTAATTTCCTGCCTGCTCCCAAAGCCACCATAGTAGGTCTGGTTCCATTTCAGTGCCACATACAATGTGTTAGTTGCTGGAAACTTGGCCCATGCAGTGCCACATATATTCACATTTTATTCTGACAACTTTCCCATTGAATTATTTGCAGCTGTTTTCATAGGGATGTTGTCTGTTTCTTCCCCCTTGTAGTTTAAAAGTATTTCTATGCGACCTATATGACTGCTCTGTTATATACGTTTTCTAAGCAGCCAACTTTATACAGTATGTATTGAAACCTGACACATATTTTAAACGCAGCTTTCTAGAACATCTATTGATTTTATGCACCATTTCACCACTAGATGTTGTAAACCTCTCTATCTGGGGGTGATAGAAAATTGCATTTATTACAGTCTTTTATGTCACAGTATGTAATGGTATATGAGAATGACCTTGAGAGACAAGGACTGCAGTCGGAACAGTCAGATAAAGGGAAGTTTAGCTGATAGCAGAAAAGTGGGCATGACAAATATCTCAGAAGGGACTGTCCTTAATTTCTTGAGCTGTAAAGGTAACAGGAGAGAGATGTACTCTCAAACTTGCAAAATTCTGTTCATGTAACCAGTAGGCCTGTAATTAATATAACCTTAATCAAATAGAACAAGTTCTTCTGGATGTGCTTCTTGTCGGGACTGCTTTCCATGGCTGATACAATGATTTTCTATTAATGCATTCTGATATTTCTCTGTGAAAGAGAACTACAGTTATTTTTTTAAAAAAATGTTTTGTTCTTTTGAGTTCTATGGAAAAGAAGTTCCATCCATAGCATTTCTCCAGGGGTCCTTTTTGCCCCCAGAAGGGTTTTGCCACATAAGACTGGAAAGAGGATACTGATATCAGCAGGGCTACATTTATATTGACCAGTCAACTGATGCCTTATCAGAACAAATCCAATTCAGCTATGTCCAGATTATTTATTTATTTGTAAAATTTATTAGCCAACCATCTTCTCTTACTACATAGTAACTCTTATCTCAAAGTGCATCTCAACCAGAACTAAGAATTCTAATTGTCCGGTGGTAGCTTTCCAGGTTTTTGGCAAATATATTTCTTATCATCTATTACCTTATGCTTTTAAGTGAAAATGCTTGTGACTGAATGTACGCACAGACCACCAGGAGGCAGGTATTATGTTATTGGTTCACTAAATTATCCAATACAGCTAGCCAGCTATTGTTTTGTGATGTAATGTAACATCTGTATCTCTGTGCTCTGAAAACTCAAGGGAGTAGCCTTTCATTTGCAAAATACCTGATCTGCTATTGAGCTTTTCTTCCTGTTGAATATTGTGATGTATGGTGCTGGTCAGTAGGTTCTGGAGAAAACCTTTTCCGTTTGGTGGACGGAAGATATAGTCAACTCATTCTGAAAGGACATCTTTTAAAGTGTGCTATAAATGCATCACTCATAAATACATAGCAAAGAATGTGCAGTGTGTGGCAAGTGGTTACTTTTATATGGTGTAAAGCTTCTGCCTTTTTAATTTGTGCATCTGGAATACATTGCTACCCTACTCATAGTGCTACCATATGAACTATGGTGACTGTAATTCAATGAGAAACATCTCTTCCTCTTTTTTTTTTTTTTTTTTTGCAACTATCATTAGTAACTCCCTGTCCCCAACTCTCAGTAATTGGTTCCACTGTTAAATTTCTCTTACTGGCACAAAGTGATTTTTCCCCCCAACACGCAGTTGCCACTTTTAAACTGAGTTCATGGAAATATAGTTCTGTTCATACAATCTAAAATTTAATTTCTACTCTTTGCAGCCATACCACACTTCTTACTTACATTCAGTTTTCTATCAATTACTATTTCAAGACCTTTTTCACAAACACAATCACCAAGCCCTAAAGAAGTAAAGTAAAGAACAGATCCACATGCAACTTTCCCATTCTGGGAATTATTACCCATTCCTCAATTTTCAAAAGCTCTTTGAAATA